CAAAGACCATTAAACAAAAAGTACTACTGTAGCCTTAGACTTAATCACCAGGTTTTGTACACTTCTACTTCTCTGTGTTTTCCAGCTGAGATGAAGAGCGTTATTGCTTCACTGTGTTATCAAAGCAAAGACATGACAGGGAACCCAGCATGTCAATCATTTTTATTATAGCCAAACTCAAAGGAAAAATTAAATTTCATGGCTATTATAAAAGGACCACGAACACTGTCCTAAGAGTGTGGAAGACACAGGTAGGCTGTGACAACTGACTGATGGTCCCAGAAATATTGTGAATGACTGAGGAGGAATGGAGAGGAAAATCCTTGCTCTCAGATTCCCTTTGTTTGCTGGGATGGTGGGGTGGTGGTGAAGCTGCAACCTTTTGTAGGTCTGCTCTTTTGCCTTTCTATCCAAACAGATACTTGATCTTTAAAGCAAGGACAGATCCTGTATTCACTGCTACAAAAAATTCATTTGCAACTCAAACTGACAGATAGCCTTCAAAGTTCCCGAAGGGGTCTTTTGCTGCCTTTCAAAACCCAGTAGCCACTCGGTGCCATTTCAAACACAACTTTTTTTTTTCACCCAACTTTTGCTGTCACCAATAATTTTTCTCTTATAAATCCCTGAGTACCAACTTCTGTGATTCTGTCCTTTATTATCCTCTTGGAATTGTTGCTTACTAACTAGACCATCATTATTTTAATTGCCTTCTAATTGGTGACTCTGTCTAGACTCTCTCCTTTATAATCCATTATAGACCACCCAGATGGCTTGATTTTCAGAATAAAATGAGAGTGATCAATCAAGAGTGCCTACTGCTTGGGTAATGCTTTGTGCCAATTTGTACTAAGGGCATGATAGAAATTTACCTGATTTGGTCCCACCAAAAGAGGTAGGTGCTACCATGATCCTGATTATCTTTTAGAAGAGAAAACTACGTGTTTACAGAGGACAATTAACTTGTTTTGGCAATAGCATGTAGTTTCGTTTGGTCTTTTGCAGTCCTTCAGACTTCAAAGTTCTTGCTTTTGCCATTTGGCTTCTCCACCTTTCCAAGACCCAGAATGCAATGTTCCCAAGTATACAACCACACAGCTGGGAACCTCCTATCCAAGACCCACACCAGGGCCAAGAAAGCCTCCATCTTCGGCAGATACACTTCCCTCTTAAATGCTTCACTCCTGAGTTTTCAGTTGTTCTGCTTCCACCATACTAGCCCTGGCACTTGCTCTCCTCTGTACCCTTATCAAGCCCTGACCATGTTTCTGACAGGTAATTGCTGTCAAAAACAAACAAACAAACAAACAAATAACAACAACAAAAAAAACCCAAAACCAAAATCCAAAACAAAACAGCCTGGCCCATTCCCTTCCTATTTTTCCTCGGCTTACTTACGTACATTATCGTCCCTGTAATTTTCTCACTCCGAACAAGACTACACCTCTTCTGCACTGGTCGTCATTGTCCACCATTTCTAATAATGCCGAATAGATGGAGAAAGCAGTACATAGATGGAAGGGAGTATGTATTACAAATAATCACTTAAAAAAGGAAAAGAGTATTCAGTGGCTCTTGTGGACCAGAAGATTTGATAGCACTCAGCATGTTGTGTTCACCACTTTGCCACTTTGGGCTGATTATTCAATGTGACACTTTAACGGTAGCAACAAATTGTGTTATTATTTACACTGTATTTTGGCTTTTGAGAGTTTCTCTCTCTCTCTCTTTATCTCTCTCTCTGTCACACACACACACACACACAGAGAGAGAGAAAGAGAGAGACAGAGAGAAGCAGTTATAGGTAACAAGAAGCTTCACAGCATCAGGTCAGCTTGTTTCTCAATGACCCTCTTACCATTTAAAAACCCAATTAGTAATACTCTGAGAAAGAAAAAGCATTCCTTTTTTGTGGGCCTCTTAATGCTCTCTTTACTATGTGCTTTTCTTGATACTCATTGATTCATTTGTCATTGTTTTATCTTGTCTTATTCTAAGCATAAAGGTTCTCCTTGCCAATACTATTTCATTAGTCAACTATGGCCCCACTAATCTAGCTATATCTCTAGGCATTAAGTCAGCACATTCCTGATTTGATGCGATATTGGCAATTGGTCTCTAATACAGGGTCTCAGAACAGGGCTGGCACCATCCTGTACTGTAAGTTAAAGAGTTGAGATGACAGAGGTTTTCCTTACCGAGAAAGAACAAAGCAACTGCAGGAGAAGTGTGTTCCCTAAGAGGTGCAGCAGCCCAGGCCAGTGCTGACTGAGAAGAGGTGAGTGTGCAGGTCAGCTACAAGCAAAGCGCCCTCTCCACCCCACAAATCATAACTGAGTTCCTCATATTGCTTCTTTCCTGAGCTATGGTCTATTTGATGAATCAAACAAACAAAATATCCATGCTTCTCCCTCTCAGAATATCATCCTATCCTTGGTAAGAGGAGCTGGCCTTGACGATTAGGAAATAATATTCAAGCCGGGTGGTGGTGGTGCATGCCTTTAGTCCCAGCACTCAGGAGGCAGAGGCAGGTGAATCTCTGTGAGTTTGATATCAGCCTGGTCTACAAGAGCTAGTTCCAGGACAGCTAGGACTGTTTTAAGACGGAGAAACACTGTCTCAAAAAACAAAAACAAACAAAACAAAACAAAAAAAAACAAGAAAGAAAAAAAGAAAAGAAAATAATATTCAAGTTCTAGCAGAACCTTGGGCAAATTACTCCAACAATGTTATTAAATGGAGAAATAGAGATAAGGAGACTCCTGCTAAGCCATCATCACCACCACCAGCAGCATCAACATAACCATGCTATTTTTTTCAAAGTGTGGAAGACAGACAGAAAGAAATGACTGTACACATGACAGCAGTTTGAAGAAGCAAACATTGTGCAATATAAGACAGGTCAACACAATTCCAAGTGCACACGTGCCTCGAAGTGCAAAAATGGAACAATTGCAAGTGTCTAGAGAACCAGTCATCTGTGGAATATTTGTTCTTCACCTAACTTCCGTTTTCAGATTTTCAGTGCAGAATCCTGTCCTGTGCAGTTCAGCAAGCACCTACTTCCAAGTCAGGCAGTTCTTATCAATGGCCAATGTTACACTTTATTCCTCTTTTTGTGATTCAAGAAACTCATTCACTTGGTGAGGGAAGCCGAAAGAAGTTTCATAGAGTTTTCTCATTGGCAATAAATAAAGTCAATATGAAAAAAATAAGACTGACCACACATATCTTAACTGAAAAAAAAATGTGTTTTTATCTTAGAGAATAAATCCACACTACCTGTGAAGGGATTCTTTGCCTGTGCTAGAATAAACAAAATTCAGTCAACAACAACACAAGGCAATGCACCAAGCATAGTGGCCCACATCTTTAGTCACAGCACTAGGGGGCCAGAGGCAGGCAGATCTCTCTGAGTTCCAGGACAGCCTCATGTTTGCATCTGTGTCTAAACCAGCTGGGGCTACATAGTGAGACCTTATCTCAAAAAGAAAAAGAAAAATAGATAAATAAATAAAGGAAGAAAGGAAGACAGAAAGAACAAAGAAAGGAAGAAAGAAAGGAAGGAAGGAAGGAAGGAAGAAAAAGAAAAAAGAAAGAAAGAGAGAGAGAAAAGCATATACAACTTGAAAGGTGACATTTGAGCTTCTGAATAGGGTGAAGCACATCTGCAATTAACAAGTGATTTTTATAAGAGAAGATGAGCCCATCTTCCTCAGTTTTATTCTCTACATACATTTAGTATAAAGTATTCTATAGTGACAAATTATCATGGTGTGAAACTCCAGAAGGAAACACCTGCAATATATAGTCAGATGCTTTGCATGAAAACAAAGGCAAATCCACATTTCCCTAATTGTTTCCGTTGCTGTAGCTACCTTAGACTTGGTGAGCCTTGGGAGTTTTGCAATCAATATTAAGACTGGTCATAAGAGTGTGTGGTTTATTATTACAGTCGATGTAACAAATTCAACTTCATCCACACAAGCGAACCAGACAGCTTTAATCTTTCCTCTGCACAATAGAACCAGTGTTCTGTCACTGTGGAACCTCCTTCCCAGGACTCTGAATCTTTCTGACTGATGCTGCTAATGATTTGCTGGCTTCGGTGCTGTAGCTGCCAGCACAGAAGATGCTTAACTGAGGGAGACGCACACAGGAGCTCAATAGATGACTTGTGATCAAGGAAAAACACAGAAAGAAGGGGAGGCAGGCAATTTCTGACCACGTGCATTGGTCCTCAGTGAAGAGTTCTCTCAGAACTCTGTGGGTGGTTTGTGAACTTGCCTTAACTCTCCTTAAGTTTCAAAGGGAAAACATTGGAGGCACTTGAAGCAGCCTTCTTTGCGATCTTCCACAAGAGATCTGCATTTTAATTTGGTACCCAAATTTTCTTTCTAAGTAAAGAAAGGAATGTCTCATCTCGGAAAGCTTCAAATTCTCGAGAGTCCCATTTTGCCTGTCCAGATAAACTCTGCTTAACCAGAGTTTTATCTTCTACATGATTATATATACATTTGCTGGACTCTGCCAGTGACCAGGATGCATGTGCGACATCTCAGCACCCCAGGACAGTACCCATGTGCCATGCTGAAGTATCAAGTACAGTGCAGTCTTTTCCCAGCCTGACCCCTAGGCCTTCTTTCTAATGAGGTGACCTTCCCTAGAAGCGTCCTTCATCTGTTCCGGGTAACCCAGTTAGAGCAAGAAGGTTCGCAGATATCATAGCATTAAACACTGAAATGTTTGTTTTCTGTAAAGTAGCAAGACCCATTCTGGAGGTCAACACACCCCCACCCCCAATCTCTCCTTTATTGCTAGGCTTTAAGAGTCACAGGGGCACTGCAATCCAAGCTCTGTAAGGACCGACTCACAGTCTTGAGGAACTTCTTTTCCACAAGGTTGAAATGCCAGAGGGGGGAGAGCCAAGGAGCAAAGCCCACACAAAAGCAGCCTGCCCAGAAGCTCTGTCTACACAAAGGCCGATCCCAGGTACTGACCTGTAAGTCTGGGATGGACCAAGTAGTGCTGGAAGTCCTTCCAGGCCTGCAAGATTCGCCCAGTTCACAAAGCTGTCCCTGCTCAGTCAGCGCCTGGGTACCCCGTTCCGGGCGAGGGTGCAGGGTGCTCCTCCACCGCCAACCGCAGGGTTGCCCCACACACAGAGCGACCACGTACCGCCCTGGAATTCCGCTCCACCCCTTCCTCTCGCTAGGTCTGCAGAAGCCTTGCTTGTCCTCACCTGTGAGCGTTCAGTACAGCTGAGGGCAGAGGACAGCGGCGACACCGGCGCTAGGCATCCCTGCCTCAACCGACCCACGTAGAGGCCGCCCACACTCCCTTGGCTGTCTGGGATGCCAGAGGGAGGGCGCTTGGCTTTATTGTTTATTCATAAGGCTGAGACTGAGGCTAGGGATTGGGCAGCGGGTTCGTATGCCCGCCCCGGGGCAACGACAGGCAAATCTTTAGCACCACGCCCCTACAGCTTCCACTTGGGCAACTCCACTCGCACAAGCAGCTGTGTCAGGGTGGGACCCCGCGCCTGGGGCACCTCAGGAGACCCTGCCCCAGCTGCTCCTATTCACATCCTGGGCTTTTGAGGTAGCTCTCTCTGTACCTTCAGAGAGGACACTGAAGCACCATTCCAATCCAAGCAGAAATTTCTCTGGTGCCTGGAAAACAAGGGGCATTCAGTCCTCTGTTGCAGAGTGGTACCTGCTGGAACAGAGGACAGCTTGGTGGAGCTCCTAAGGTGAGTCTTAAAGGAACTCTGTAAGAAATGTTCCTTTCGTATTAAAGAGAAAATAAGAGTTAAAAATGAGGACAGATTACTGACTCTTTGCTCCATCTCATGCAAAACAAGGTACCACATAAGTTACTGGGGAACCTGCACTAGAGCTCTGAAAAGTGCTATGGTCCCTTCAAAGTTGAAGGTTCAGAAATGAAGCTGGTTCAAGGATGCTCAAGTTTTCCATGCTTGAGCCTCTCAGGTACACAGTTTTCCCTTTTCATTCTAATTATGAAGGCAGAGAAGTGTCTGGAACCTGAGTTTTAGAATGGATTACATAGCACTTTCCCACGGTACTGAGTCTGATGAACTCGCTTCTTCAGAATGGCCGTTTTAGTCGCAGTGGTGTGTGTGTGCTTGCAAATGCATGTGTGTGTTAGTGTAAAACGCATGAATTTGTGCATGTACACACATCGACAGCTTTACCAATTAAGGCAACAAGCTCAGGAGAGACTATGAGGGATCAATAGATTCAGCAATCCTCTGCTTAGATAATTCTCAGAGGTCAAATAATGTCAGATGAGATGAGAAGTCAGATCTCAGGTAATGTCAGATAAACTAAATCTAACTTTTAAATTTACAATGTGCAGGATATCTAATGGGAAATACCTAATTAAAAAATTAAGTGAGGTCTGGAGATAAGGTTCAGAGGCTACAATCACAGGCTGCTCTGCTAGAGGACCACGTGTCAGTTCCCAACAACTGCAAACACCTCGCAACCCACTGTATTCCAGGTCCAGGAAATCCAGTTCCTTGCGGTGGCCTAAGTGAGCACCAGGAATGCAGGTTGCGGTGCTCTGGTGTCCTCTCTGAAGGCACAGAGGGAGCTGCCTCAGAAGCCCAGGATGTGAGTGGGGTGGCTGGTGGCAGGGTCTTCTGAGGTGTCCCAGGCTGCACAAACACTATTCAGACTAAAAGCCCATGCAAATGAAATAAAAATGGTATTAAAATAGCATTATTAAAAGTAATATCTCCTATTCAATATTTAAGCTGTGCTTACGCTGAAATTACAAGGGGTTTATCAGAAATGCAAATTTCACTAGGAATCTTGCATTCCATTAGATCTGTCAGTACTGGTTTATTACTTAGTTCTGGCTAGTTAAAAATGTTTTGAGTCAGAAGGGAATTAGGTAGAAAATACAAATTCAAAAGCAAAACAAACAGTGATCATATAAATGCCAATCATGGAAGAACTTTTAAAAATAAAAGCTTGGTATGTAGAGAGAGACTATTATTAAAATGAGCAGGAAGGGACTGGAGAGATGACTCAGCAGTTAGCAACAGTGGCTGCTCTTCCAGAGGACCTGGGCTTGATTCCCAACAACCAAAAAGGACAGATGACAGCCATCTGTAACTCCAGAAAGTCAGAGTCAGAGCCCAGTGGCCCCTACTGACCATGTAGGGCAATGCAGTGCACAGTCTTCTTTCTACCCATGCTGGCAAAAATCTTCACACCTAAAAGTTAATTAACTAATTAAAATCTATTTGAAGGGCATAGAAATTATTCGAAATGTATCAACTCTTTAACATGACCCTCAGGTGTTGGCATAAGGGGATAGGACCACTTTTGAGGGTTTTTGTCATAAAACAAGTTGTTGATAAAACAAGTTTAAAAAGGAAAAGCTGGGCACATCAAAAAAGTCGAAAGCAAACAGTACCCAGAGCTTTTGTTCCTCATCACTCTTATTGAAGAAGGCACACAACTGTCCTCCTTTATGGTGATTTTCGTCTTCGGTGCTAAGACAATGTTACAGCCTTTCAGTATCACCAAGGATGAAATACTCAGCCTTATAGTCACCAAAGAGATGTTCCAGGAAGCCTGGAAGTTAGGATGTGTCTAAGACAGAAACTCGGACAGCCAGCTGTGTTTGCTGTGGACAGTTCACCTCTCAGCTTTCTGTCCAACAAGGAGGAAATAACCACATGTGTTGACATCAGTTTGCTTTCGGTACATTAAGTGTTATATACCATTACAGAAGAACTATTTGTGCATACTCTCAATGGTTTACCCTTGTCTCTGTGACCAGTTTGAAACCACTACAAGGATCTTTTCTATCCTCTCAATAAGTTACAAGCATCCTGTGAATCTTTATCATTTGCCAAAGGCAAATTCTGGTTTATTATTAATCTCACATGATCAGGCCAGTACTAAAAAATGAGGAACAAGGAGCTTGGGTATTTTATACTGCTTGAAATTGGCCCCTTCTTTGATTATTTAAAATACTAGAGTATTGCTGGCCACACTGTTATTGACACCCATCTCATGGGATGCTGGAATCAGTGTGCCCATTCACCTGACCTGTGTGTGAGGGAATTGTTTGCCTGTACCATTGCAGCTGTTCCGTAGAAGTGTGTTCCTAGCAGATATGCTAATACACACACAGATTGTATCTCTGGTCTTGAACACACGTAATCAAGATGTTCTGATAAATAAATGACAGAACTTATACAGGTTTAGTGCTACTGTTGGTGGAGGATGATTTATTGAAGTCTGATGGATTTTCATTTGAAATGAAACCCACTGGGACAGAATGAGAAGTTAAAAGGCATATGTGGAAACATTCATCCAAGATGGTAATTTTGTGGTTGTCCTCTGAATCCTACAGGTTTTATTCTACTTGTTGAAGGCGTAGTCATGGAAGGAGGGAGGAGAAAGATACGTTTGCAAAGTGGATATTAATGTCGTTGCTCTGATTGTCTTTCCTTCTTGGCATTCCTAAAAGTAGATCCACGTGAGCCTTGTGGTTTTTTCCAAAGCTTTCTTTTCTGTCTTTTGATTAATTTTACAGTGGTAATTTCCGGGATGCTTCAGATGTTTTAAGTTGAATTTCTGAGGAGTTTGGTGTGGAGCAATATTCCAAGGAATATGAAATTGCCTGATTGTGGGGGTGATAATGGTATAAAAATGGTTAGAACACATTTTATGATTTCTGATTTTTGTTTTGCTTTCAAAACTCTTCAGAACACTTGTCACATCCAATCTTAAACTACTTCACTACAGGAATACGTACAAAATAGTTCTGGGTGCACAGTTTATCTGTGAGATAAGTTGGTGGAGTAAAATCAGTAATAAAAAGATTTTCCTTACCGTGATTTTGGGATGAAAAATTTTATATACAGCATTTGCTTTTAATGTCAAACTACAAGGGTTTTCTCTATTTATGTATCTATTATGATTTAACACTTATTCTGGGTTCACACAGATTAATCCTCTGGCTTCTATAGCCTAGCCTCAAATACCTCTTTATAAGTGAAGGAGCAAAATTTTGTGTTACTTACAAGATCTGTTTTAAACACGTACTGTTTCACCTCTTATTCACAGTTTTGTCTTCAGGGTCTGAACTCCCTGATTCAACTGTAATAAATGGAGTTTTGACCTTTGCCCTGACAAGACGAGAGTGTGGAGGACTGAGGCAGGTACAGAGTGAAACAAATGTCTAAACCAGTACAGTCCTTTGAAAGGAATCCTGTGAAGATAACATCTGAGGCTGACACATTTTCACACAGAGATCTTTGTCTATGCAGCAGCCATGCCCTTGTGAGGTGAGTTCTAACAATACCTTTTAGAAACTGTATCATCAAACTGTCATGTCTTTCAAGGAACAGACCCTTTCATACCAAACTAATTTTGGAAACTATGTTCAAAATGGTGTCTGCGACATATCTTTCATCTTATATCCATTCTTGTCTTTTATTTTTTAATGAATGAATCTCAGAGTTAATCTTTTAAACAATGGATATGCAATATTTATTAGTGAAATAAGGGCACACCTGTGCTTTGCTTTCAAGGAACTTGGATCATTCTGAAGAGTCAATATAAAGAAATTGTTTAAACTCAGGACCAATAATTTACCATGTTTCTCATGTTTTCTGAGATTGAGTTTTTCTTTGTAGCCTAGATTTGTTTGTCTGAAATTCACAGTACTCTTGTTTCAGCCTCGCAAGTGTTGGATTGCAGATGTAGGCTGCTCGGTCCTGCTCGAAGGAAACTTTGTTCAAAGAATATCCTGGACAGTGAAATAGAGCAGCGGGGGCGGGGGGGAGGTATTCTCTATTACTGTAGATTTTGAAAACATTTGCAGATTCAATTTGTGCTCAGTTGTAGAGTTGTGATGAAACATTGTGAGTTACCTCAATATGTAAGTTTTGAGGCCATTTACAGGGATGGAAAGATGCCCAAATAGATTTATTAGATTTAGAAAAAGTGTTCCTTTTTATTGCCTGCCTTCTAACAAACATGGCTATTTTGGTTGTTAAGTTGACTACATCTGGAATTAAATAAAATCCAAGACTGTCTGTAAGAGAATATTTGCTCAGTTAAATTGATTGAAGTAGAAAGATCCACTCCTACTCAGGGTCTTTGGGGTGGGAAAGACATAGAATTCATCCAGGTCTTGTGAGGTGGGGACCAACCTGTAGTCTGGGCTGAACTTTCTTTCAGAAGCCTATATAAAGGTCATGGACGAAGGGAGCCTCTTTTTGCCTGCTTGCTCTTACCCTTGCTGGCACTTCCATTCCTTTACAATAATTAGAGCCTACTTCAGGATTCCAACATATACTGAACACCGGCTGAGACATTCAGTTTTGTGGACATAAAACTACTTGATTCTTAGATCTAGCATTCATAGGCAGCCATCACGGGAATAACTAGACTACAGCCTAAAAGCATAATAAGAAATTCCTTCTCTATACACACAGAGAGATTCACTCGATAAATTCTGTTAATCTAGAAAATCCTGACTAGTACAATTGCTCATGTTGCTTTTAGATAATAAAAGTCAAGATATCCAGATGTCTAAGAGGACATTCCACCCACAGCAAGTTGACTATAAAAGCTCAGTCTGAGGAATCCGGGCATCTGTGGACACTCTCCTATTCCCACGCTGCTTTCAATCAGAATAATATCAAAATGTAAATATCTGTTTATCAAGATTTTAATGTAGAATGGAATTCTCATTAAATTGAAGAACTGAGAAAGAGGGTCATGGAAGCCAGCATGAGCTACAAAGAGAGATACTTCCCTAATAAACAGGAGGAAGGAATGAAAAGAGGGAGAGTGTTGGAGGGAAGGAGAGAGGAGCAAAGAAGAAAGACAGGAAATGGAGGGAAGAGGAGAAGGAGAAAATCAGTGCCACAGAGAAGGCTTATTTTTCCATGTAGCTCAAAATTCTTTCAATTCCTATCCCTATAAATTTTTGAGAATTGGGTAGTAAATACTATTATACTTTGTCTTCTTCCCTAAGTACTAGGTAATAAGCAGGGGATCATGCCACAAGAGTTATGTTTCTTTTCAACACTGAATTTAACTCCACAATCAGTCAGTCAGAAAGTGTTTGTTGTTGTTGTTGTTTTGAGACAGGGTTTCTCTGTATAACAGTCCTAGCTGTCCTGAAACTACCTCTTGTAGGGCAGGCTGGCCTCAGACTCACAGAGATGGACCTACCTCTGCCTACTTCGTACAGTCATTAAAGGTGTGCACCACTACCACCCAGCATATCAAGCATTTTTTGTTTGTTTTTGTTTTTGTTTTCTTTTCTTTTTGATCTGAAGAAGGTACATAGTGTAATGCAAGGGTGTGCTTAGAGAGCTTGAATTGATTAGAAAAGAAAAGGTCATCTGTTAATAAACATTATTAATTCTACACAGTGTCAAATTTCCCATCTTCTTCATCAGTGTTCTCAAAGTGGCATTTCATTTCATCTTCTCTCTTCATCCTAGCTCAGGGAAGAGCCATCTGATGAAGTCCGGGTGGAACACTAATGTCTTATTACAGTTAAGTGTGTGGAGCTGCCTTCCCCTAGAAAGGAGCTCCTTGAAGTGAGGCCCTGTGCTGTAAATAGTCTCCCATCTCTCACAACACCTACAACAGCACCTGACAGCTGCTGTCCAAAAGGGCTCGATGACGAATTCCGCCCAGGAGATCACAGCAAAATAGGTGTGGACGGCTGTAGTGCTCGTGCTTTACAACGGGAATCTGAACTGAGTTCTATGGCAGGTGAAGGCCACTGTGGCCAATCTCAGCATGAAGACTCTTAACGCCTGACGAAGTGGATCAGCTCAGGTGGAAGTGGCTCTGACACATGGGCTTTAATTAGGTTTTTTTCTTTACATTTTATGAAAGGAGATTGGTTCATGCTCATGTGTGTGGTGTCTGAAACCAGAGAACAAAGCCATCTGTCGTTTTAATTCCCTTTCTGACCACAAGTCTGTGATCTTTTTTATTGGTGAAAATTGTGTTTGTTAAAGACTAGCTGTGCATGAACAAGAAGTACTCTATGTATAAGTCTCTAAAAGTGGAGGGGGGGGATGGAGAGAAGAAAGCCTTGCTTAAGGCTGAATCTAGAATTCAAACACTATGCAGGCTCAAACCCTTTGACACAGCCGGAGCAATGCTTTGTTTTATTTGTTCTTTCTGAAGTCCTGCAACATAAAGTAGACATAAAACGTTCACTTCACAGAATCAGATCAAAGCAATTCCTTTCTAATTTGTTTACAAAAAAATAATGCCAAGGGGTGAAGGGGAGACTTCCTTGGAATCAGAATGATTGAAAGCCTGTCTCATACCAAGATAATTATTTACTTTGGGAAGTGTCTAACACATGAGACATCCACACAAAGGGGCAGATAAACTTGTCCCCCAAGAGTCCCAGCAAAGGCAAATGGAGTGGTCACATGACAACCTTCCTTCCTCTCCCTCCTGCTTTTAGAAGCTTTCTGTGAGTGGGATTCAGGCAGTGACATATTTTCTTCCCTTCTCTTGTAAAAGGCACTTTAAGGCACTCACGGTTGTAACTTCTGCTCAGCTTATGACACTCTTCCCACATCATGTTCTGCTGAGTTCAGGAAACAAAACAACAAACAAACAAAAATCTCAGCCAAAGTCTCTCTTGTTCCTCTCCATTTTCTGTTTTGATTCTATTTCTCTGATTTCTTTTCTCATGCTCCACTGACTCCTCAAATTTGGACATTGCTAATTTTAATTTTAATGTCTTCCCCAGTGTGTGCTGTAGAAATGATTGAGCTCATTGGTCCAATGTTAGTTTCTGCGTCTTTAATTCCAGACAACACAGAGCTGCTGTGTTGTAGGCAGCCTTTAGGAGCTTACCAGAATCTTGTACAATATAATGTATTGTTTGTCTACACACTATTCATTCATTCATTCATTCATTCATTTTCCATTCTGGGTGCAGTGTTCCTCCTCTCATCTCAGTCCCTTTCCCTCAGTTCTCTGTGTTCCCACCACCTGCAATCCACTCCTCTATTTCTGTTCAGGAAAGTGCAGATCTCACATGGATTCAGCAAAACATGGCTTATCAAGTTGCTGTAAGGCTAAATACCTCCCTGTTGACAAAGGTTTCTGTCCCACCTGATTCCACAGCATTCAGCCCCAAAGAAACACACAGACGCCTACATTAAGTATAAGCTAGTTGACCTATTAACTCAGGCTTTATTATTAACTAATTCTTACATCTTACATTAACTCATGATTCTTGTCTGTGTTAGCTACGTGACTTGGTACCTTTTATCAGTGAGGCATTCTCATCTTGCTTCCTCTATGTCTGGGTGATGACTGCAGACTGAACCTTTCCTCTTCCCAGAGTTCTTCTGTTCTTGTCATCCTGCCTATCCTTCCTACTGGTCTACTGGCCAGTCAGCATTTTATTAAAACAATACAAGTGACAAATCTTTACAGGGTATAAGACAATTGTCCCACAGCATTACCCTCCCTTTTTTTTTCAAAACAAAAACTCAGAATCTGATCTCCTTTGTTTAGCTGTTTTCTTGACCATTATCCACAACAACTTGTAGTCAACACTCTAAACGAAAAGCATCCATAATCTATTTTTTGGCAATGTGGCCATAGTTTTCTAGGCTACTTCCTGCTGATTGGGGGTGCTGATAATCTTATGGGGACCTAAGGAAAATTTAGAATTATTGGGTCTAAACCAGCAGTTCTCAACCTATGGGTTTTGTCCTCTTTGGTAAATCTCTATTTCCAAAAGTATTTATATTGTGATTCATAACAGTAGTGAAATTACAGTTATGAAGTAGCAACAAAAATAATCTCATGGTTGGGAGTCACCACAGCATGAGAAACTGTATTAAAGGGTCGTAGCATTGGACAAGTTGAGAACCACTGCTTTCAGCAGAAGTACTAAGTATTTAGTTTCTGAATAGGAAATCTATTGCAATGTTTTAGGATTTTTGGAGGGTTTCTTTTTGAAAGAGATTCTCATATAGATTTTACTAGCCTTGACCTTTGTGTGTAGCCAAGAATGACTAGATCTTCTGGCTCCACCTCTTTCTACCAGGTAGACCAGTGCAGATGGTTTCTGCCATTGCTACTGGAGATGGAATGCAGAGCTTCGTGCATGCTGGGGCAAACACTCTAACGAGTTACACCTCCAGCGCTATTAAGAAGGCGAAATTAGATAAGTGTGACTACAAAGCACAGCATTTTTCGTGCCCGTGACACACACATTCACTACATACTGTTGCTTGAAACAGGGCAGACATAGCAGGTAAGGTATAGGTTTTCACCTGTAGGAGGGAATGTGTCCTGCGTTGGTGGTTAATGGATTGTTTTCTAAGAAACTTTCTGAAAGAAATAAAGTGGATCTATCAACATCTCTCTATTTAGATTTCAGGTTATCTTAGAATTCACTTTCTGGGGAAAGATTTTCGAGTGGCAGTTTGGACAGCATTCTATAGCATTTTTTCTGGAATTTTTTCAAACAAATTTAATCAATAAGACTCTTGATATAACTAAGTACTTTGGTCTGTTCCCAGTAGGTTCTCATTAGTAGCAAAATTTTCTGTGAGTGGAAATATTCATAAGCAAGCAGAAAACATTGTTGATTGCTAAAATGATGCTGTTACTTAAATGATTTAGCATCCTATGAAATTTCATGCAACTAGAACCAATTACATTGCTGAAAATAAGTTGCCATTGTCAGTATCTGGCTGATAGACATATTCAATAAAATTATTGCATTGTCGAATTCTGCAAATATTGTAAAGTGGTAGAAATGCTTTTCATCTGCTCCAGTTTTCTATTTACTGAACGAGATGTTATAAGGATGAGACATTATCCATACCAAAGTAAAGCACATGCAGCAACCCAAATCTCTGCATTTGTAATTCAGGACCCCTAGTTTCCTGTCCAGGACCAACCTCAATGGCAACACTCCATTTCAGAAGGCAAGAAACAAATTCACTGAGTTAATTGAAAACTAAGCTTCACAACAAAGTATTCCAACTTTTACCAATACATCTGTGCCTACTGTACTGTTTCTTTATCTGACTTCAGGGCTTGCCTCTACTTGCTCTTTGTTTGCCTATGGCTGCTTACTCATTCTTCCATACTGACTTCTGGTCTGAATCTAGAATGCAGAAGCAGACAAGTGGGAGAAATCAGTCCCCGAGAGGAAGGAACAAGGACATAAGGACACATGGGTGCCTTGTTGGTTATTGGCCCTGACCAACAGCTAGCCAGAAAGATAGGCACTGAATTCTTCTAGAAATCCTGTGAGCTTGCAAGAGAGTCCCAAGCCCCAGAAAGGGTCATCCTCTAGCTTGACTGCATTTAAACTCTGTAGTTCAACCATACACCATAAACTAACCCAGGAGAATTGCTTTTAAGACACTAAATAAATGTATGACCATTTATTATGTAACACTAGAAAACTATGCACAGTCCACAGCTCTTGGCTCCATAGTTTGTATCTCTTTGGAGTCTCACAGCCTGAATTCCACCAGGATATGCTACCCCAGCTTGAATCCTTTCCCAGATCTTGTCATACTTTCCATAAGAACAGAGTCCGCGTGCTGAATTACAATACCAGCCTGAATGCCCCCACGTATACACAACTTGTTCCATAATTCCAAGTCAATCATACTCTTGACTAAGTCTATCCAATACCATATAGCACAAAAAAGGTCAATTTTCATATATATATATATATATATATATATATATATATATATACATACATACACTCTTGTTTAAGGTATTATACCATTCATTTAAAAATGTAATGTATCATTAAAATTACAGATTAATAGACAGTAATCTATAATAGTAAAACTATAGTCATGTTAGTTAACTTTTCTAGATGTACAGAGATATATTTCAAATAGATGTGTATTCTTCAAACCCTTCAAAGACCTACAGAATATGGCATTTAAAATGTTTTAAGAGTTTAGACCTCTCTCAAAAGTTAGACATGTCTGCTTTTGCAGTACCAGTTGCTTCAGAGAGGTTGATGGTCATTGAAGAAACTTGCTATGGAATTTGCCTTCAGTGTTACAAGGCTAGTCATTTGAGCAAGAAACTGGCCTTGCCTAGACTACTTGATGGTATGCTGTATAAACTGGACATGTAGGACAGAAACTGGACATATAAACAGAAAAATGACTGTTGAATTTGCCTAAAGAAGGTGAGGCCGTCCTTCAGGGTTCCTACTTCATGAAAGAATCTGCCAGACATTCTGCAGGACACAGAAGGAAGTATCTGACAAACTTCCAGTAGAGGCAAATGAGTCTTTCAAATTTCTTGCTTTATGGAAAAGTCTGCCAGATACTATGGACCTGGTGGCTGAAGATGGAACCCCCAATGTTACAGAAGAACTTCAGGTGACTGTCCAGGCAGTGAGATATCTCTGTCAATTCTAAAGTTTTAGAAGTTGCTTACAATGCACTACCTGTTTACTTAGGTGATATTATATCTTTCTGGGGTCTTTGATGAAGTTGAAGACAGTTACAATATTCCTTAGCTATGATAAAAGACAAACTAGATATGAAATTTTAGACTCACAAACAAATATTGTAATTGTAATTCTTGCTTGATACCTGTTTTGTTATATGTAATTTTAGTATGTCAAAGTTAAAACCTTTCTTTTTATTTAGCCAAAAGGGGGATTTTAGGTGGGATTCTCCTCTGTATGCTGTGAATATGTTTTATTATCATTGGTTAATAAAGCAATTGCTTTGCAAATACTTATTGTAACTTTTTATGTCTATAGTATTTCAAAATAAATTGCTTAAAAATAAACTTCATGATCACTCTCATAAAAAATTAAAGTATGATTATTTTTTGGTGTAACTAATTGAACCCATATGTACAACAACCCACACAGCCTTTTTCATGTTAGGCAAATGCTATGCCAGAGTTAGAGTACCAGCCTTTAACCATATGTATGGATTTTTGTTTATTTGCTTGTAGAAGCTAACTTTATTTGTGAAATAACCAGGCTAGCTTAAAGGATAAATAGTTATATTTTTATTTATTATAAGGGGAAACTCATTTCACAGGAGTGGAAAGTCCAGGCTCTGCTTGGCTGTGGTGGAACCACACAGAGAGCGAGCACCTGGTCCGTGCACACGTTTTTCTCCCTGTGTCCCAGAAAAGCCACCACTCATCCTTAGATCCACCTCTTAAAGATAATTGGTTAACAAAGCTTCCCCCATTGTCTCCCCCTTTTGTCTAAACAAGAGCGATCAAAACTCAGTACAACTATATACAATAAGAACAAATATCAAGTATAAAGTTACAACCAATATAAATAATATTAAGCAAGGAGCACAAGACAAATGTTTTTACAAACATTTTATTTCAAAGAGTCTCAGCTAAACCATAAGAGGAAGATAACTATGACTATCTAATCGTTAACCCCACCGTAGGCCTGAGAAGGGAGATAATATCACTTGAGTAGGCAGGAAGGGCAATCAAGCAGCTTCCAAAGTAAGTAGAATATGACAGAGACAATTGGTTACCTGAGCAATCACCCAAAGTCTCATTTGAAATGTTGAAGCAAACAACTTTGGCTAAGGCCTAGCATAACTGACAGACCATTTTCAGAGGCAGGAAATTTTTCAAAACCATCTTAGTGTGTCTTGGCAAGATTTGACAGTCTTTTTTCTTATGTTCTTATGTCCAGATACCATGTACTTTGTCAGTGGTTGAGGCATGAGCAGTTCTTTGCCAAAAGGCCAATTATGCCAAGAAGAAAACAAACTCCAAGTAGAGTGTCTTTGGTGCTCAACATTCTCTCAGGAATAGATTGGTGCTGTAAGAAGCAATTATGTCTCATGTCAACAGAACCCTAAGTTATTTAAATTATTTAAATGCCATGTTCTGCAGATCCTTGAAGTGGTTGAAGATTACCTAGCTATGCAGAATACATTCTCTATGTATCTAAAGAACTTAATCAATCTTATTACATGTATAACAAACATGAACAACTATTGACCTATATCCCTTGTAACTTAAATACTAAGTTGTGTCAGTATATTAAATAATCTGTAAACAAATGTGCAGCAAATGAGGACAATGACCTCAAAATGTAAACAATGTATAAGTATCTTGTTCAGAGGTAAGAATAATATATATTGCAATATGAACTATATCCTAAAAGATGTATCAATATACAAGATGTCCTAAACAGAGGTAGAAACAAGCATATATACAATTTTACAGAATAACTTTGCATAGGTGTATAAATATTGTAAAGAGAAATAACAAATACAATTTGAACTTGTATCAATATACAAAAAACTATGCCAATGCAAATTATCCATAAATAATAGCTCATAAGTATTCACTCTATTGCCCACTATTATTACCCCTTTTTTTGAACCTACATAGTTTCCACCCCAACTCTCTACATTATACAAGCAATAATCAACAACCCTTAACTGGTGTTCCCAACTCTGAGGACAAACTTTTTTGGGAGGGAGGCGCCATGCTCTAGAATTGCTTCCCACTGTCATGGGGATGATGTTCTTTTTATGGGATTCTGCAAAAGTAAAGTGATGGTTAAGTTTCAAGATTACTGTCTAGTATAGTTGCAAATGATTTCCAAGCAGTCGATAGGGTTTCTTCCAAAGTTCTTATTTGGAGTTCTGGCCAGAATGTCACGAGAAGATGCGCCATTTTAGCAGCTGGTACCCAAAAAGCAGTGTTATAGCAGTGCTGTCAGCATCATGATGTCATCTCAACCAGGTGGAGTTGTTGTTGTGGGGCCCCATCTATTTTCTGGAAACTTTAAGGATTACTGTAGGAAAATCTATTGCTCATTGTGGAAACTTAATCATTATTCATAGAGATATACATTTAATAAAGAATACGATATAGACAAAATAGACATAGAAAAAGTAAATTTTTTTAAAGTCTTTTTTTCTGTCTGATATCAAACGGCTCCCAATATGAGACAGAAACTCTGAATGTTTCTTTTAACAATGAGCTTGAATTTAGAGAAGCACAGAGCCATTTTCCAACTTCAAAGTCAGCTCTATATATTGTGCATGCCTCATCCTTGATTCCACCTCTTAAAGATGATTGGTTAACAAAGCTTCCCCCATCATTTGCTTTTTGTTTTGTTGTAATTAATTCATATATTTTTTAGGTTTTTGAAATGGTATCTCACTATCCAGGT